GTAGTTCTGGGCTGATCCCTCACCTTCCTCATGATCATTGATGCCCCATAAGGTGAGATATTGCATGGAGCCCCAGACCGAGGGTGATTGACCGTCATCTTGAACTTCTTCCATTTTCTAATAATTGTGCCAACAGTTGTTGCCTTCTCACCAAGCTGCTTGCCTATTGTCCTGTAGCCCATCCCAGCCTTGTGCAGGTCTACAATTGTATCCCTGATGTCCTTACACAGCTCTCTGGTCTTGGCCATTGTGGAGAGGTTGGAGTCTGTTTGATTGAGTGTGTGGACAGTCTTTTATACAGGTAACGAGTGGAGAACAGGAGGGCTTCTTAAAGAAAAACTAACAGGTCTGTGAGAGCCGGAATTCTTACTGGTTGGTAGGTGATCAAATACTTATGTCATGCAATAAAATATAAATTAATTGCTTAAAAATCCTACAATGTGATTTTCTGGATATTTTTTTCTCATTTTGTCTGTCATAGTTGACGTGTACCTATGATGAAAATTACAGGCCTCTCTCATCTTTTTAAGTGGGAGAACTTGCACAATTGGTGGCTGACTAAATACTTTTTTTCCCCACTGTATAATTATTTTCATGGTCATATTAGTGATTGCTGTTGGGCTTTAAAGAGAGACCTGCAAGAATGTGGGTCAAACTGTTGGAAGCTGAAAATTAAAAACAATGTTTTGAAGGTAACTGGGAATCAGAGATAAACATTTGTGTTCAATGTTTGTTATTTTATTTAGTTACTTTCCTATTTTTATTCTACAATTGCTGCAATGAGACATATAAGACAATGAGCTCCTATGTTAGGTATAAGAGAAAAATATAGATAATATTTGAAACAATTAAGGTAGAATCATGGGTTTTAAGGTCATCTCCTACAATGTGAAAGGTATACATGGGTCATTTAAAGGAAATACATATCCTACAACTGAAGAACTTATAGTGTGCAATAGCTTTTTTACAAGAGACTCACCTGCCAGATAGTGAACATCTCAAGCTCAATAAAACCTGGGCTAATTAGGTGTTTTTCTCATCACATAGTTCTCGGAGGATACGCAGAGTTGCTATTCTAATACACAGATTTGTTTTGCATAATTAAGTAAAAGATAAGGAAGGGAGATACATATTATCGAGTGGGTCCATCGCAGGAGTGAATCAATGTTTAATGTATATGCACTTAATGAGGATAAACCTGAGTTCATGAAAACTATTTTTTGATGGGAGGAGACTTTAACTGCATTTTATCCAATATTGAAGATAAGGCTCCCCCTCTAGAGCACCCACATCCAGAATGAGCCGTGCTTAAGAAATGGCTCCATGGAACTGGGTCTAGTCGATTTGTGGAGACATTTGAACCCTAAAAAGAAGAGATTTACGTTTTACTCCTTACATGTTATTCTCGTATTGATTACTTCTTTATGCCAAAAATAGAAGCATATAGAATTATAGAATGTAAGATCTTGAGCATTACTCTTTCTGATCATGGGCCGGTGTCCGCTGTATGGGATCTGGAGAGACATTCGCACCCCACATTGTGGAGGATGAATGCTTCACTATTTGACGAAGCTCAACTTAGACAGTTTATCCATTCAGAACTTGAACAGTACTTAGAGTACAACCAAACACCTGATGTTTCACCTGCTGTTCTGTGGGAAGGGGCAAAGGCTGTTTTGAGAGGGTGTATTATTTCATATGCATCAGAAAAAAAAAAAAAGTGAAATCACGCAGGAAATTGGAAGATGACATTGAGAGATTGGAACCCCATGATTAAATAACAACAATCCCACTCAATCCTCATCCAATTAATAGAGGCCCGTAATGCTCTTGATTCTCTTCTTACCGAAAATATTGAGGGATATCTGAGATTTCTAAAGCAACGCTATTATGAGAATGGGAACAGAGCAAGTTGTTTACTTTCTTTCCAGTTAAGGAAACAACAGGAATCTACTATAATTCAAAAGGTTAAATCAAATGATGTTGATGAGCCCTTTGCTACAAGACCCCAGTATATATCAACAACCTTTGCAGAGTTTTATAAGAATGTATATTCAGATTTAGAAAGATTTCCTGAGCCTGATAAACTACAAGGTTTCCTCCAAGGCATTGAACTCCCTCAGTTGACGAGCAAAGCAGTGACGGAACTAGATAGACCTATATCAGAAGCTGATATCAGAATAGCTATACAATAAATAAATAAACATTAAAATGTTCGGTTCTGATGGGTTCATTCATGAATTCTATACAACCTTCCAGGACCAACTCACTCCAAAATTAGTGGAAGTGTTTTCAAATGCACTAGAAACCGGAGAGCTTCATTACACTTGGAGATAATCTCTGATCAGTGTTATACATAAAGAAGGCAAAGTTGCTACTGACTGTTAAACAATTACAAACGGCTGACTTCCATCTTGGCAACTAGGAAAAGTCATACCAGATATTATACACCCTGCTCAAACAGGGTTCATTGCTGGATAATATAATATAAGAAGATGCCTAAATGTTATGTCATCTGCCCAGACTCAGGGTCGGGAAAATATGGCACTGGCCCTGGATGCACAGAAGGCTTTTGATCATGCATCATGGCCTTCTCTGTTTCAAGCGCTGCATGAATTTAGATTTGGCCTCAAGTTCATTAGATGGGTCCAAATCCTTTATTCGACCCCCCACGCTAGAGTCAGGGTAATTTGACATTGACATGTATCTGCACCTTTTATCATTAAAAGAGGGGTCCGGTTAGACTCCCGAGTGGCGAGGCTGTGTCACAACCGGCCGTGACCGGGAGTCCCATAGGGCGGCACACAATTGGCCCAGCGTCGTCGGGGTTAGAGGAGAGTTTGGCCGGGGGGGCTTTACTTGGCTCATCAGGCTCTAGCGACTCCTTGTGGTGGGCCGGGCGCCTGCAGGCTGACTTCGGTCGTCAGTTGAACAGTGTTTCCTCTGACACATTGGTGTGGCTTGCTTCCGGGTTAAGCAGGCAGGTGTTAAGATGCGCGGTTTGGCAGGTCATGTTTCGAAGGACGCATGACTCGACCTTTGACTCACTCGAGCCCGTTGGGGAGTTTCAGCAATGAGACAAGATCGTAATTGGATATCACGAAATCTGGGAGAAAAAAAAAAAAAAAAAGTGTGCTCCTTTTTGCCATTAGTATTTAATATCTTTCCCAGATGATCAGATCTAGTCCGAATATCAAAGGAATAGAGAAAAAGGAGGAGCATAAGATTTCTCTGTTGACAATGTATTACTGTTTATGTCTGATGTACGCAACTCTGTGCCATGCTTGATGAAATGTATAAAAACATATGGGATTTACTCAGGATATAAACTAAATGTAAGTAAGACTGAAGGTTATGCTATGAATGGGTTCACCCCACATCTGTCAATTCTCAGGTGGCCTGACAAGGGAATACAATACCTAGGCATTACTATACCTACCTCTCTTGAGGAGTTGTATAAAATGAACTATACCAAATTAATTGATGTTATAACCACATGATTTTACCTCTCACTTTAACAGGAAAGGTTGAAACAATTAAGATGAATATTCTCCCCAGACTGCTATTCCCATTTCAGACGCTACCGGTTCTGGTCGGAGAATCCATATTTCAACAATTAGACCGCCTAATTTCAAGGTTCCTATGGCAAGGTAAAAAATGGATTTTGTCCCATTATCACTAGATTCAGGTTTTCAAAGGTGTTCATTACTTAATTTTCTTGAAGAACAACCAAATTAAATAATTCAGTGAATTTCAGACTTCCATTTGCCAAAGTCAGATTTCTTTAGCTATTCACAGCTAAGAGACTATTTACGGAAACACCCCAACTGGGTAAAAATGAAAGGTGGCCCTATCCTATAGAAAAACACCCAATCAATACTCAGAAAAGGGCAACTAGTAGTAAACAAATAGCAAAACTATATAAATCTATTGATGTCATGACACAAAGCAATACTCTGCAAACTAAGTGCAAGTGGGAATCTGAACTTGGAGAACTTTAAAAGGAAACTTGGGAGTCAATCTGTAGTAATGATCATACCATTACACACTCAAACATATGGAAAGAATATCAATGGAAAATCATTAGTAGGTACTTTCGAACTCCAGACGAAATGGTGAAGATAAGACCAGAAACAACCAATGAATGCTGGAGAAAATGTGGGGAATTGTTCGCAAACTACCTGCATATTTTTTGGTCTTGTCCTAGAATAATGACATTCTGGAATTCTTTTTTTAGAATTTGTAAACAATGTATTTAAATGCTCCTTGGTAAAGAACCCAAAGAGTGCAATACTTGGAGTAATCCCTGAACGGTTTCAAAATGCCTATCTATTAAAAATGCGGTCCCGCTTTAAATGATATGCAGCTTCTAAAGGCTTCATTAAGCCTTCATAAACACTACATAAATGTGTTAGAGAGAATTCCAAGAATGTGCAAAGCTGTCATCAAGGCAAAGGGTGGCTATTTGAAGAATCTCAAATATAAAATATATTTTGATTTTTTTAACACTTTTTTGGTTACTACATGATTCTATATGTGTTATTTCATAGTTTTGATGTCTTCACTATTATTCTACACTGTAGAAAATAGTACAAATAAAGAAAAGCCTTGAATGAGTAGGTGTGTCCAAACCTTTGACTGGTACCGTATATACTGTATTCAATAGTATTCCACTGTATCTTAGTCCATGCCGATCTCTGACATCGCTTGTCCATATATGTATATATAACTCTTAATTCATTCCTTGCTTGGATTTGTGTGTATTGTGTATATGTTGTGAAATTGTTAGATATTACTTGTTAGATATTACTGCACTGTCGGAGCTAGAAGCACAAGCATTTCGCTGCACCCGCAATAACATCTGCTAAACACATGTATGTAACCAATCACATTTTATTATTATTATTAAATTTGATTTGATTTGATTTAGAACAATGACACAAAAATAACTCTGCAGACATGCATTTACTTTTGACAGGGTGTTCCTGCGCATCGCCACCTTATCCCATGCAGGATATTCCCTGCCACAAGATGATCCACAATAAAAACATCACTCTCCACTTCAAGGTCATCCTCTTCAGTTGGATGTAGAAGTCAAAGATCTAAACCAGAATGGCATATGGTTGGTCAAAGTTGACATGATGCCCAGGCAAGACAGTCAGCGCAGGCAACAGCTCTAATTGTACTTCGTATGAACTGCACGCATGGCTATTTCATACAATTCAACCATAACATGTGGGCGACCTGAATATACCTGCCCACTAAGCCACTCGATGGGCTTCAATGTAATGAAGTCATGGAGGTGCAGGATGGCAACGCGTCCCTCCAACGAAATCCTTGCCTTTGCCCTGGCCACTCCATCCGATGAAATGGCCCACAATTTCTTCACCTACACAAACAGATCATGGGCAGAAAAAGGGTGTTCAAACTGCCTGAGTGTACAGATGTGATGAACATACAGTGGGAAAACAGTTTCACATTCAACATAATCTATTCTCCAATTCGTCGTACCTGCTGGGATGTGTCTCAGACCGAGACTGTTGGAATTGATCACCCTATAGATCAATTGTGACAGTTCAGTTATGGACAGATCTGGATATACAGAAAACCCAGGAGGACCACAAGGCTTAGTAAAATGGTCAAAATGTTATCACATACCCAAATAAGAAAAAATCGTGTAACAAATAAGACCTACCCATTGATCAACAGTCGACAATCCTTCCTGGGATTTGGTGGGCATCTGGACATGCTCCTTGGTGGCACACATATGGTCAAAGCGTTTTGTCCACACTCCCGCCAATGGCCAATAAAGCTGCCAGTCGGTGAACACCTCTGGGCGCTGTCCGTTGCAGAGCAGGAGCACGTCTCCGTTGGCAACAGGGTAATGATGTGCTGCTAGACTGAGAAGCCCTGGTAGATGAACGATTGGGTGCTTGGCACCAGGATGATTAGTCCTTTTGCCACAATCATCCTGGCCAAGGCCTCAGGTCCAGTTTCTGCCATTTCATCCTCTTCCTGTGCCACAGGATTTGATGACTTTAGCAAAGGACACCTCCGACATGTGGTAGGGGAAGGTGGTGGTGGACATTCGCCTGTAAAACTGTTCATGGCACTAGGGGGTAAAGTGGATATTCCCTAGGTTACAGTAGCCCCACAGCATATCCCTTAAGGCATTGGATTGGAGTTGGTAAAGTAGGTAAACAAGTTTATCTACTCCGACCTTCTTCCATCCAACCAATGCCTTGACAGCAATGAAGCTCTTAGAACAATTGTAATTGCGTATGATTGGATACCCAAGCTGTTTAGCACATATTGTGCGCTCCTGTCCATGGCGTCGGACAGCAACTGATGAAAATAGGCCTCGAAATCAGGGATCCAGTGGACACACACTCTCCAGTGTGTGTTCGTAGTCACTCCTTGATTTCAAGGCCAAGAGCGCTTTGATTGCCTGCTGGTAACCGGCTCCCTCTGGCCCAATCTTGTGATATGAGGACAATAGACAAGATGTTAGGGGCTATTATCATGTGTAAAGATCCATGACCTTCCAGACTGGTCAAGCTTTGTTTTTCTTCTGACTTATCAATACTGAGCTTCTACTTCTTATCATTAAAGATATTTTGACTTACATATACATGCTCGGATACAGGCCATTTTATGCAGTGCATCTGTGTGAAGGTTATTTTGTGTGTGGTGCAGTTTATTTTGATGTCCACTAGGTGTCAGCACTGTTTCAATATTGTCACACCAGGTTCAAGACATGTTTTTGTCACGCCCTGACCTTGAGAGCCCTGTTATTTCTCTAGTTAGTTTGGTCAGGGTATGAATGCTAGTTGATCTATGTTATATATTTCTATGTTGGCCGGGTGTGGTTCCCAATCAGAGGCAGCTGTCGATCGTTGTCTCTGATTGGGGATCATACTTAGGCAGCCATTTTGCCTACCTTAGTTATGGGATCTTGTTTCTGTTTGCCTTGTTTGATGTTTAGCCTCTTGAACTTCACGTTCTGTTGGATTTTGTTATTTTGTCTGTGTTTATTAAAATAAACGACTATGTACGCATACCACGCTGCACCTTGGTCCGATCCTTTATACAACGAACGTAACAGTTTTAACGTGTAACAATGTTCCTTTCAAGTGATGTCATTGAGCACCCCAGACCCAAAATTCAGATAGGGGTGTAGTGTAATATAGAAAATTCCCTCGACTGAGGATGAAGGGTCTCCATTATGTAGATGTATACAAATTATGTTGAATAATAATAAAATACATTCATCAATCTGACTCCATTATTATGTGAATGCTATAGGCCCATAATCGTATCCAGTGGGTATAGCCAAGGTTGCGAGCCTTGCATCACCACTAGGAATACTATAAGATGTACATGTCTAGGTTTACCGTTATGCAATTATTAAGAGGCTGAGGAACAAGGAGCTAATGTATTGCAACCTATGTCTTAGCATTAAATGATTGAGTTAACCTTAGATCAGAGATGCACAGTTAGAGACCGAGCATATACAGTGCATTCGGAAAGTATTCAGACCCCTTGACTTTTTCCACATTTTGTTACATTACAGCCTTATTCTAAAATTGATTAAATTGTTTTTTTCCCCTCATCAATCTACGCACAATACCCCATAATGACAAAGCAAAATAGGTTTTTAGGAAAAACAGAAATATCACATATACAGAAGTATTCAGACCCTTTACTAAGTATTTTCTTGAAACATCTTTGGCAGTGATTACAGTCTTGAGTCTTCTAGGGTAAGATGCTACAATCTTAGCACACCTGTATTTGAGGAGTTTCTCCCATTCTTCTCTGCAGATCCTCTTAAGCTCTGTCAGGTTGGATGGGGAGCGTCGCTGCACAGCTATTTTCAGGTCTCTCCAGAGATGTTCAATTGTGTTAAAGTCCGGGCTCTGGCTGGGCCACTCAAGGACATTCAGAGACTTGTCCCGAAGCCACTCCTGCGTTGTCTTGGCTGTGTGCTTAGGGTCGTTGTGCTGTTGGAAGGTGAACCTTCGCCCCAGTCTGAGGTCCTGAGCTCTCTGGAGCAGGTTTTCATCAAGGATCTCTCTGTACTTTGCTCCGTTCATCTTTCCCTCCATTTTTTTAAACCAAGCTTTTATTCTTCCAAGAGTGCCAACTCCCAGTATCTCCTATCGTCTAATTAACATCACCAAGACATGGCCCAAAACATTAAAACTAAGGCATGAAAACAACCCACACATTCTTGAATCTAACCAACACACCTCAACACTGTATGATAAGAGCACACCCCTGTGTAGCTCCTCTTTGCCATCCAACGAACAGAATAACCTAGTACTTCTGTAACAATAAATCCATGGCACTTACAGTACAATGAAACATCTCAAAATTCATAGCTCTTTATGAACTCTTGAAACAATCCAAACATGACAATTTAATTCACACAGTAACGTTCATTTCGTCAATTCAAGTCATCACACCTCTCCTGGCGTCAGTGACCCCAGGACTTCCATGAGAATGTCTCTTCATCATGCCACAGATGAGGTGTTTTTTTACCCCTGTGATAGCCCACAGATGGTCTGCCATCCAAACAATAAATCATGCCAGTGTGATGAATGTTCTTCCACCCAACATTGGTGGAAGAAAAGTCAGCTTGGTAGCTATTCTTACAAGCCTAGTAAAATACAGCAAAGCTTAATTAATACAAAACTTAATTAATACAATTATTTTGTGGGACTCGCGGCCCAGCCAGGAGCCTCTTTGTGTGAGGGAATGATGCATCACCAAACGAGAGCATGGATTTCCAACAACTCATGGCCAGGCTGAATCAGATGCCAGACTACAACACGGTGGCTGATATGAAAGAAAGGCTGATGACACAAGTAGCTCAACTATTCCAACAACATCAGCAGCTACAGCAGAGCACTCCTCCTGCGCCTGCACCGGAACGGGCGACAGGCTTTCGTTGAGCAAGATGGAATTATTTATCCGTAAATTGTATGATGGTTATCTTAGCATTCTCAAATATGTTATATGAAATAGATTTTCGAATATCACGCATTATCTTAAAGTTTTTTCTTAGTCATGTCTCAGGAAGAAAAGTCCGCACAACACTCGTGTACTGAGTTTGCTGTTCAGTCAGCTGAGATTAAGGTGGATGGAGAGTGGAGCATGGCAGATTTTGAAGGTGACAGACATGGACTGACTGTAACATAAATCTACATCTTACAGGATTTTGATGCATATAACCATTTCTAATACACCTCACTGACTCCTCATATGCAGCTGCAAATCGGTAGTGGACTGAAAGAGCGGCATAAGTCGTCAGACACCCCAGACGGAGCAAAGGAACGGGACATCAAAAAGAGAAGGCGGCGTTGCCAGAGACTGGTTAGTTTATAAACGTAAACCAATCCATGCATTTTCAATGCAGTACTGAATTTTGAAAAGTAGAGACTTGTTCAACAGCTGTTAGCGTGTGTGCTTCTTTAGCATTTTTCTTTTTGATTCCAGTGTTCAAGACCGTTTGTTTATTGGGCAGATTCATTTACCGTATCTTGTAATTTCACAGGCTCTGGCCTGTCGTTCAAAAGAACTCTCTGCTGAAAAGAAGCAGCGATTTGTGGGGGCAACTGAAGGCGTGATGTCTGATGTGGAGACAGACCTAGAGGACCCCGATGAATTTTAATAACCTCCCCACCTTGGCGCTCCCCTGAGTTTGAGGACCTGATTGCATCAGCAGACCAGAGAAGGGGCAAGCATGCTTATGGGGAAAAAGAACAAAAACCAGAGCAACCGTGTACATCTACCGCCACCCTACCCAGAACATCTGACTGTGCAATAGACCACAGACAATCACCGACAAAGTTCCTCGGTGTCCACATCACTAAGGAATTAACATTGTCCACACACATCCACACAGTTGTGAAGAGGGCACGACAGCACCTCTTCCCCCTCAGGAGGCTGAAAAGATTTGGCATGGGCCCTCAGATCCTCAAAGTTCTAAAGCTGCACCATTGAGAGCATCTCGACTGGCTGCATCACCGCTTGGCACCCGACCGCAAGGCGCTACAGAAGGTGTTGAGTACTGCCCAGTACATCACTGGGGCCGAACTCTCTTCCATCCAGGACCTCTATACCAGGTGGTGTCAGAGGAAGGCCCAAAACAACTTCAGACTCCAGCCACCCAAGCCATAGACTGTTCTCTCTGCTACTGCACAGCAAGCAGTACCAGTGCACCCAGTCTGGAACCAACAGGACCCTGAACAGCGTCTACCCCCAACCCATAAGACTACTAAACAAGACTGCTAAATAGCTCATCAAATGGCTACCCGGACTACCTGCATTGACCCCCTTTTTCACTAACTCTCTTGCACTGACTCTTTGCACACACTGGACTCTACCCACACTCACACATACTTACACTGACACCCCAACACACATTTACACACACACACTAAATACGCCCACACACACACACACATAACACTCGCACACATGCATGCTGTTATTTTAACTCGCTATTGTTATTCCCTGTGTATTTATTCTTCGTGTCACTATTCTTTTTGGAGGGGGACCAGATGGGTCCCATTATGTCTGGCGAAAACCAAACACTACATTCCACAGTAAGAACCTCATACCAATGGTCAAGCATGGTGGTGGTAGTGTTATGGTTTGGGGATGCTTTGCTGCCTCAGGACCTGGACGACTTGCCTTAATAAAAGGAACCATGAATTCTGCTCTGTATCAGAGAGTTCTACAGGAGAATGTCATGCCATCCATCTGTGAGCTGAAGCTGAAGCGCAGCTGGGTCATGCAGCAAGACAATGATCCAAAACACACAATCAAGTCTACATTAAAATGGTTAAAAAGCAACACATTTGAAGTTTTGGAATGGCCTAGTCAAAGTCCAGACCTAGTCCCATTTCAGATGTTGTGGCAGGACTTGAAACGAGCAGTTCATGTTTGAAAACCCACACATGTCGCTGAGTTAAAGCAGAGAGCATGCAAGAGTGGGCCACAATTCTTCCACAGCGATGTGAGAGTCTGATCAACAACTACAGGAAGCATTTGGTTGCAGTCATTGCAGCTAAAGGTGGCACAACTAGTTATTGAGTGTAAGGGGGCAATTACTTTTTCACACAGGGGTATTGGGTGTTGCATAACTTTATTAATGAAATAAATAAAATAAGTATACTTTTTTTTGTTATTTGTAAACTCAGGTTCCCTTTATCTAATATTAGGTTTTGGTTGACGATCTGATAACATTCACTATAAAAAATATGCAAAAATAGAGATAAATCAGAAAGGGGTCAAATACTTTTTTCACGGCACTGTATTTACAGTGGGGAAAAAAAGTATTTAGTCAGCCACCAATTGTGCAAGTTCTCCCACTTAAAAAGATGAGAGAGGTCTGTAATTTTCATCATAGGTACACGTCAACTATGACAGACAAAATGAGAAAAAAAATCCAGAAAATCACATTGTAGGATTTTTTATGAATTTATTTGCAAATTATGGTGGAAAATAAGTATTTGGTCAATAACAAAAGTTTCTCAATACTTTGTTATATACCCTTTGTTGGCAATGACACAGGTCAAACGTTTTCTGTAAGTCTTCACAAGGTTTTCACACACTGTTGCTGGCCCAATTTTGGCCCATTCCTCCATGCAGATCTCCTCTAGAGCAGTGATGTTTTGGGGCTGTCGCTGGGCAACACAGACTTTCAACTCCCTCCAAAGATTTTCTATGGGGTTGAGATCTGGAGACTGGCTAGGCCACTCCAGGACCTTGAAATGCTTCTTACGAAGCCACTCCTTCGTTGCCCGGGTGGTGTGTTTGGGATCATTGTCATGCTGAAAGACCCAGCCACGTTTCATCTTCAATGCCCTTGCTGATGGAAGGAGGTTTTCACTCAAAATCTCACGATACATGGCCCCATTCATTCTTTCCTTTACACGGATCAGTCGTCCTGGTCCCTTTGCAGAAAAACAGCCCCAAAGCATGATGTTTCCACCCCCATGCTTCACAGTAGGTATGGTGTTCTTTGGATGCAACTCAGCATTCTTTGTCCTCCAAACACGACGAGTTGAGTTTTTACCAAAAAGTTATATTTTGGTTTCATCTGACCATATGACATTCTCCCAATCCTCTTCTGGATCATCCAAATGCACTCTAGCAAACTTCAGACGGGCCTGGACATGTACTGGCTTAAGCAGGGGGACACGTCTGGCACAGCGGGATTTGAGTCCCTGGCGGCGTAGTGTGTTACTGATGGTAGGCTTTGTTACTTTGGTCCCAGCTCTCTGCAGGTCATTCACTAGGTCCCCCCGTGTGGTTCTGGGATTTTTGCTCACCGTTCTTGTGATCATTTTGACCCCACGGGGTGAGATCTTGCGTGGAGCCTCAGATCGAGGGAGATTATCAGTGGTCTTGTATGTCTTCCATTTCCTAATAATTGCTCCCACAGTTGATTTCTTCAAACCAAGCTGCTTACCTATTGCAGATTCAGTCTTCCCAGCCTGTTGCAGGTCTACAATTTTGTTTCTGGTGTCCTTTGACAGCTCTTTGGTCTTGGCCATAGTGGAGTTTGGAGTGTGACTGTTTGAGGTTGTGGACAGGTGTCTTTTAAACTGATAACAAGTTCAAACAGGTGCCATTAATACAGGTAACGAGTGGAGGACAGAGGAGCCTCTTAAAGAAGAAGTTACAGGTCTGTGAGAGCCAGAAATCTTGCTTGTTTGTAGGTGACCAAATACTTATTTTCCACCATCATTTGCAAATAAATTCATAAAAAATCCTACAATGTGATTTTCTGGAATTTTTTTTCTCAATTTGTCTGTCATAGTTGACGTGTACCTATGATGAAAATTACAGGCCTCTCTCATCTTTTTAAGTGGGAGAACTTGCACAATTGGTGGCTGACTAAATACTTTTTTTCCCCACTGTACCTAGACGGCTTGTTGTTGGGGGGTAAATTAACTTTAATATTGCAGAGAGATTGTGGCTTCCATCAATGTAATTGTCTGCATCATTTCCAATCCCCCATATATATTATTTTGTAAATATACTGAATATATAATATATATAAATATTTGTTAATATATTTTCCTTTATTATTTTCCCCTTACCCTACCACCCCTCCCCTAATTGGAGTAAACGAATAGACAACAACACTTAGGCTTCTACTTTCAGCTTATACTGTACATACTATATACATTTTACGGACACAGTATACTTTACATTATTAACTGGGTGGTTCGAGCTCTGAATGCTGATTGGCTGACAGACGTGGTATACCAGACCGTATACCACGGGTATGACAAAACATTTATTTTTACTGCTCTAATTACGTTGGTAATCAGTTTATAATAGCAATAAGGTACCTCGGGGGTTTGTGGTATATGGCCAAAATACCATGGCTAAAGGCTGTATCCAGGCACTCCACGTTGAGTCGTGCATAAGAACATCCCTTAGCCGTGGTATATTGGCCATATACCACACCCCCTCGTGCCTTATTGCTTAAATAATTGTTTGTTTTTAGTCCCACCCTTCAGCTCCACTCAAGACCTCCCATCTATCTCTGAACACCATCCAGTTTGATTTCTATTTGCAATATATTTTTCAAATCTGCTGTGATGTTTAACAAAAGTTCTGAACCTTTCTATTCTCATAGTTTCTACAGATTGTAAATTAAATATATATATTTTTTGCTAGGGGTATTATTATATTATTGATCGACTGACTATGACTTTTCAAGCTACATATGGACAGTACCAAAACAATTTATCTAATGATTCTGTCTCTTCGCAGCAAAATCTGCAGAGCTGGGATGGTTGCATCCCCCATATATATATATATATATAACATTATATTGGTTGCACGAATTTTGTATAATAATTTAAATTGAAAAACTCTACGTTTTGAATCCAGCGTTTTGTTTATCAATTCATAAACCATGTGCCATGGAATCGGTAAATCGAAAATCTCTTCCCAATTATTTTGCAATCTATATGGCACAGCTGTCAATTATTGAGTCCTTAAATGAAACTGGTATACTTTTTTATTTATCACAATTTTCTTTAACCAATTTTGGTCTTTAATGCAGTACAGACAAGTTCCTTACTTTCTCCCCCTTCCACTTGCCTTGTCCATTTTTGCAGTAATGCTGCAATTAGTTGGTTGAAATGTTGAGTTTGCTAGCTGCATGTGTGACATAACTCCACCAGTCCTATTTATGATATAATTTACAAAGTCACCAGAATTGAGCTTCTCAGTCCTTCTACATAAAAATATCCCCGGACCCCTAAGCAAGGGGACTGGAATTGGTCACACTCGCAGTTTAATACATGTACAAAATGATCGTCTTTCCCTAAAAGCATGACGGTCATGACTTTCTTACATGGAAGGGGTGGTTAACTTGGCCCCAGACAAACGATCTGAGAACAACTTAAGTTTCAACATGAGATTTTTTTTTGCTTTAACCCTCGCTAGAAGGGATACAGCTTTTGTCAAAATTGACTTTTTGTAGCAGGTTTAGAACTTACGCAGCAGGTTAGGAGAATTAACGTATCAGGTTAGGTGAATTAGGTTATGGTTAGGAAATGGGTTAGGATTAGCTAAAATGCAACAACACAAAAATATTTGGACAAAACTTCAACATCACAAATAGTTTTGAACAGTCATCCAACTCGGAAATCCAACTCGAAAACTCAGGCCTCTTTCTAGAGATCCGACTTTCCGACCTGAAGATCACTGACATCAGGATTTGACCTCGTATTGTTCTGAGTTCCCAGTTGTCTTGAACGCACCAAAAGCATCCCACTTAGCAAAAACCCTGTCCTCATGGGCCCGAACAGGAATTCCATCAGGTCAGAAGTCAGGTCCAGTCTCAGGCCCAGTCTCCTCAGCCGGGGTGACAGCTTTGTTGTTGTTTGAATCTCAGATTGGTCTCAAGATGACGTCCCTGAGCAGTTGCCTTCTTCTCCATTAAAAGAGTGTCTGGCTGTGGTGCATATTAATGAACTTCTTTATAACCATCTCTCGATTTATTTTGTTTGAAAAGCGATGTTGTTGTTGAAAGTGTCCATATTCCAGGCTGTAAGTAAAATTGTGCAAGAGGGTGTATACTTTATGGCACTGTACTGTACATATGGTGTTGCGAGCCATGTTGCACATTATAGTGTTGTGTTTCCTCAGCAATGGTTAATGGAGGTTATGTGCCTATTGCTTGATAGGTCTACAATCAGGGAGGGTTGCTCAATAAAAAGATGTAGACGTAGGGTCAAATTAATTCCAATGAGTGATTTATTTAAATTATTCAATGATCATAGATAATCAATACATGTCATTGTAACTTAATGCAAAGCATTCAAGAATGTAATGGTAATTAATAAGATATATTTTATGGAGGGAACAGTAACCTTCTTTCTCAGGTTCAAAAGGATGGTGTCATGTACATGTGTTTGAGAACTGATATAGTGTCCTCTAGGAGAAGATTGAAAATCTCCTCAGACAGTCTCATCTTCACAGTAATCTGGTCAGCGCTGTAGTCCACCCACTGAAGTTCTTCTTTGTGAAGCTCTTGGATCTGAGGATTCAATGTGATCATGAACTTGAACATTGTTGCAGAAAGTACTGTATGCCTTCACCCACAACAGCCTAGCTAGGCATTGCACTTATTGATGCTCATATACTCTAAATATGTTTTATGTAGGCCTACCAAAAAACTGTTCCCACCAAGGCATTTGAACAAAATTCTTATTACATACCAGAATGTAGTCTACTCTGTCTCTCTTTGTACTCCTGTATTTGCACAATGTCAGGAGCATCTCTTTCATCTGAAGGTCGGTCCGTTCCAAGTTGAGCTCTTTCTGCACCTCTGATTTTACAGCAGCCTGCAAAATATGACATTACATTTCAAATTTGGACATTTTTGCACTTTATTTATTAATTTAACATGTCTTATGTTCTTCAGAAGTTCACCTGGGGATGATTACTGTACAAAATCAACACCAAGTGGGTTATTGTTATTTATTTATATATATATATATATATATATATACACACACACACTGTACACACGTATTTGTGTATTCCATTATACTGTACATATAATATGCATAATACACAAAATATGTAAGTGCATAGGTTCCATGTTCATTTTCATATTTATTTAGACAGGAGATTGTGTACATAGCAGACATGGGGCTACTTGTTACCTTCAAGTCGGTGAGAAAGATTCTACTTGATAGGCGACTTGAGAGTATATTTTTCGTCTGCCACATAGATCTTGTAATCCCAAAGTGATTGGTCAACACCCCATGAAGAATCTCAGAGGTGAGTTGGTGCATGATCTAGAGTAAAATATAGTTGGCTAATGACCTCAAACATACATAATATTAGCATCCTGATCTGTAAATTCATCCAGGTTTACAATCATCCAATAACTGCACACAAACTCTCACCTGTCCGTAAGCTCTGACACTCTCTTCATCAATGATATAGCCTGGTGCTTCTGGGTTGTAAATCATGGTACTCTTTGCTTGGCCTAAGAGGGTTTCCACGGCAGTATCAACCAGTCTGTACACTATGTCCCGGTCGTGGGGCTGGACTTTAACCTTCTCAGGAGCTGCAGAGCAGAGAGTATCGTGCCACTGTTCTATGAAACACAGCTTATTTGCTGTGCTGTCATCTCTCTTCTTTATTGTCTGAAATCATACAAAAGCTATCACATAAACGATAGTTCAAAAGAAAAAGACAAGTAATAGGCCTACACATATTGCATATTCATGTATTCAAACTATTACTGCATAATTAAACAAAATATGTCCTTCAATAGGCGCTAAACAGAAAATGGAAGGTTTTGAACATAAAGATGGTGTCACGACTTCCGCCGAGGCTGCCTCCCCTCCTTGTTCGGGCAGGTTTCGGCGTTCGGCGTGACCGGCTTACTAGCTACTGCCGATCCATTTATCATCACTCCATTTGTCTTGTCTTCAATCACACACACCTGGTCCTTATTCCCTCATTAGTCAGTTGCCTCTGCTTCCTTGTCTGTGTGGGTGATTGTTTATTGTGGAGGTTAGTGAAGCTCGTGTATTGTGTATCGACGGGAGTATTTCCCGTGTGCCTTGTATTTTCCAGTGCGCCTGTTTTGTGGTCTGGAGTGTGTTTGACGCATTTCTGCGTAAACCTGTATTTTGCGGATTAAAGCCTGTTATTCTGTGATTTACCCTCCTGTGGCTGACTCCTTCAACACCACCTCATCACAGATGGAAATAGGGGACACCTATCTTTGCCATGATAATTGCTGACAGTCTGCAATTGAGCACCGCCCATGCTACTGTATCTCGACTTAAAATTAGGGCACCCTCATTTTACAAGCGGGGAACGGCAGGTTCTTGTTAGCATTCGATTTGTGTTAGCACTCTGTCTGCTTCTCTGAGCTCATTGGCAGTTATTAGTAAACAAACTGAGGAGGTGCATACCAGCTACTGTGCTGGAGTATGTAGTCTGAATGGCCATAATGGCAAGGGTGGTAATTAACTGCCACCTGCAGTGCTGGAATGTTAGCTCATGAGTTTTATGGTGAAAGCCCTCAATGGCACTCCCCTTCCTAAAACAAGCTTTGTGGCAAGTGAACCCTCTATCCATCTCTATGGTTTGAAATCAGGTAGCTTAGTGGTTAAGAGCGTTGTGCCTGTAACCGAAAGGTCGCTGGTTCTAATCCCTGAGCCGACTAGGTGAAAAATCTATCGATGTGCCCTTGAGCAAGGCACTTAACTCTAATTGCTCCTGTAAGTCGCTCTGGATAAGAGCATCTGCTAAATTACCAAATATTTAAAATATATCTTTCCAACCCTAGCAGTCATTCTGAATGCAGATTGTGGGAATCCACTCTAGCTGGATTCCAATAGGAATTAAACATCACTTTGCAAGCCAGCATAACATGACTTGATTCTGGTTTTGCTTTAGTTTATGCTGGTCACCAGTGTCCAAAACACAGTGAAGGCTGGTCACCAACAAAAACACAGGGTAGGCTGATCACCACAAAAACACAACGAAGGCTGGTCACCAGAGAAAACACAGTGGAGGCTGGCCACCAGCGAAAGCACAATAACCAGCTAGAACATGCTGGTCGGCCAGCAAAACCAGCTAAGCTATGCTAGTCCAACCAGCTTGACCAGAATCCGACCAGCACTGACCAGCGTAGACCAGCATAGACCAGCATTGAAAAGCTGTTTGTTTTGGGAGTGTGATGTAAAAAAAAAATCATAATAATAATAATAATTAAACTTTACTCACATCAATTTGTTTGTTGTCCTCTTTGAGCAAGCCTTTCTCTCTGTTTCTCTTCCTTATCTTTAGAGCATCCATTATAAGATCTTGGACCAGCTCCTCAGTCAATCTTTCCACCCAAGAGTTTATGTCAAAACTAGTGCTCATGGTGTGTCCTGCTGTTTGGGGGCATGAATCAAAACCAATCTGCAAAATAGGACCAATAAATAGTTTGACGAGCAAGCATAAAATGGCACTTTGGTCCCACTTTAAGCAAACAACTTGAAAGGTTTACCAAGTCTTTTCCCCTTAATTAATAATTTTCTTTACAAATTATTTACAAACATAATACAATTTTTATGACAGGTCCTTACATCTGGCACGTTGCCGTAACAAAAAATTAAAATAATTTCTTACTGTATAATTGAGTTTAAAGTGGGTCTGGCACTCTAAAGACACAACAAATACCCCCAAAGTAAAAGTCTGTGATGACCATGGTTTGCCTCAAATGTGTTATTATACGGTCTGATTAAGACAAAACTCACTTGAAATAATGATGAAACAGGTATAGGGGTGGATGAACTTGATGCCTCAGGCGTCTCATTACAACAATGAAGTTGAGGGTTTTGGCACAATTTCTCTTGTAATTGTCCCTCTTTACAGGTCATTTTAGTAGTTGAAGGATCATCGATTGGTGTATTGTGGCCCCTGTCTCTGTTGCCCTCCAATTGTCCAACTGAGGCTTTATCTTCTTTCAAAGCATCCTCTTGTGATTTCGAGCAGTTTGGTGGTTCTTCATCTGAGAAGGGATCCTCCTCAGCCCCAGTATCCAGATCACTGTCTTGTGCCCCTTGTAAAGGAGAGATGTCCTCCGCTCGGACCAGAACACCACAGTTCCTATCACACCTGAAATATTTCACCCCTCTAAAAGTCCCGTTGTGGTTTCCGTCTGGCTTGTCCAGCGCAACACCTGCCCAAAGGCCACCAGCAAATGCTGCCGGCCCCTTGTATTTCAGCACACCAGGTCTGGAAAGGCAGACAAGAACCCTGTCGCCAATGTCAAAGGAGAAGAGCGGGTCTGTGACATCCTCTTCCCCTGTAAGCGAGCTGGAGTTCTCCGTTCTGTGAAAAACATTCTGAAATGTAGGGTACGCAGTAGAGCTAGCTTCAGCAAGGTCTTTGTTCGTTTCGCCAGAGTTTGTTGTGTTGTTTACATGTGGTGCCATATCATCAGGGAGAGGAGGAACATGCTCACTGTTAATGGATGGGTCCTCTTTTAGATACAGATCATTTCCTTCAGGAGGAGGCGGGAAGTCCTCTTCACTTGTCCATGTGATCACCTCAAAAGCAGGTGAGGGAGGTAGCAGAGTGGAGCTAACACTCCCATATCCTGCACAGTACGCTACAGGTGGAGGGAGCTCGTAGCTTCCATAGGACAGAACCTCATCCACTGGGGAAAGGATTTCTGATAGACCCTCTTCAGAAACAGTTGTTTTTGACCACCCTCTAGTAACTGGTTTGGACATCTGTAAAACCAGTGGCATGCACGACTGAGCGAATGGCTTACTCGAAGACGAGTGGTATATCCTTGCTGGATTTAGACATAAAGGCTGAGTTTGTGATCCATTTTTGGACCTTTCGTTGAAGTGTAGAAAGCGTGCGTTTCCTCCGCCTCTCATTCCATCTATAAGAGCCTTCTCCTCCTCCTCAATGTAGGTCAGACAGTCACTGCTGGAAGAAAATGCATCTAATTCATCCTCAGTTTCAGAGACACTGTCATCACACGAGGGGCTTTCACGACTCGTCTTTGTGTCACTATTGCCTGTGTTGTGGACAAAGGTAGCACTGAACAGACTTCCTCTGTTGGATACAAATGTGTTGGTCTTCATTGTTTGTTCAGCTTCTTTAGGTTCTCTTATGGTGCCGTCAGGTCGGGATACCAAACGCTCCTCAGTCCCTGTACTGCTTAACTGGTGATTGGTCTCGCCATTATTGCTTAACGGCAATAGACCTTGTGATCTTTGGTCGTTCTGTACATTGAGAATTACTGGGTCGCACATCACCTCTATAGCAAAGTCTGTGTCCACAGCATCGAGATTAGCACAGGACGTCATTGGTAATTCCTGATCCTGTGCATTCCTCTGTCCCTCATACCTCTTCTGGCTCTCTTCAAAGAGCTCCTTGGTATTGGACAGGAAAGGAGATCCTGTCATGGAACTTACAGTGACTGTTTTTGCTTTCGGAGTGTTTGAGAATGATGGACGGATGGAAACATTCTCAAGAGACGAGGCCACATTGAGTAAAGGGGGAAGTGTTTCTTTATCGCCATTCTTTTCAGACGATCTCTTTTCCTCAGGGTAAGCAGGATGAGACTCGGATGTCTGAATCTTCTCTTTAGTCAGACATCCTGTAAAAAAAATATTATAATACGTTGTTCTATAGCATACACAACACAGCTTAATTTAAAAAGTCTGACAGGGAGATTAATTTGACAGATAAATGTTCATGTTCACAATTGAATAACATTCTCATCAGATGCAATTGAATCAGTCAATCCAAAAACAGTAGTGCAAATTGACAATGGTCTCTGCCTCCCACCCTGTATTGCCTTGGACTAAATATGCTGAGTCAGTCAGCCTGAGAGCATTAATATATATGCAAGGCTGGGAAATCTTCTGGAAATAGATTGTCATCTTTATGTAGCAGTATATTGTTAAAAGTCAGGAAAAAAACAATCAATAGCTCCAATGCAATACATTTAACATGCTGCCTTTATCAGTTTCTGAAAAAAATGAATATCATGAGACAGTGTAGTGTTACTGACACATATCCCTCCTCGGCAGCCTGTATTGCAATAATATGAATATTGTATAGTAAAGGCAGCAGGGAATGAATCTACAGCATATGTCAAAGATCCACTTCAATCAAAGGTGGAAATTGAGATTTCAAATGTTCAGTTCAACACATCATGAATTATTCTGACCTTTTTTTAACCACTTTGTAAGAAGATTATTGCAGTGTCTGCAAAGCCTGTTCCCATACCACCTACCTGTTAGAATATCTGCCGGGATTTGCACACCTCGCTTCACTGTCTCACACTGAGGAGATTTTCCTGCACAGAGCTCAACTCTGACACTTTGAGACCGAGGTAAGCCTTTGAATGTGACTATGAGAGGAGCTTGGCTCCTTAGCTGTAGGTAGGTTTTGCTTGGACAAGGGCTGTTCCTTAGAATTTGTTTCCCCATCATAGTTCCCCCGATGAAAAGAGTCTGCTCAACCCTGAGCCTGTCCAAAACCTGACAAGACAAAGCACAGATAAGTATTCTCTCTTCAAAGCATAGCAGCCATGCTGAAATCCTTTGGACACTGATCGAGCCTGGGTCTGGTTAATTAATCTCATATAGACATTTGACAATATTAAGTATCAGTATGGCTCAGACATGTGGGACACTGCACCCCAGTGCTCTCTTTGTCCTAAACCAGTCCCTATTACATAGACTGTCCTATTAAAAAGATTGTCCTCTGAAATCTACCAAGCAGTGCATGCATATAATACTGAGAAAAAATGTCCTCCACCTACCCTGGCCTGCTCATGACTGGCATATTGGCACAACTGTTATGTCAGAGATGCTGCAGCTCAATTTCAAAGGCAAGACTGAGTTTCCCTGAGAGAGACTGCAGCCACACCCCTGGCTGCATCTCTTTCATTTCAGCCGTCTGACCCATCTTAGTATCCTAACTCCAGAAACGATCACATAGCACGAGGAGGATGCATCTTTCTCTGAAGCTTTGCCCTGCTCCTCTCTAGCTTGTTTCACTCCCACTTTCTCTCTCGCTTTCTCTGGCCAATCAGTTTCACTCTGTATCCACCCTCCCCTCTCCTCTCCACTCCTTCCTGTTTTCTCTCTCCCTCTCCAACCTCTCTCTCTCTCTGAGTAAATACCCTGGCTGACGCACTGTAACAAAGATGTAGCTTTTAACATCCTCTCTCAGTATACACACTGCTGACAATGTAAATCCCCTAAGAAGCACTTCAGGTTCAAAATCATCCTTGTTTTTCCCCTGAAATAATATACTGCAGTGGCTGCAGTACATACCCAGAAAACATTTCCACACGCTATTGCTCATCGGCTCCACATTGGCCTCCAAGACATTGGCCCAGTGTGGGCAGCCCATTTCTGGTGATGGCAGCCCTCACTTCACCTGAAATAAGGCCATCTTTTCCCAGCAAACATGCCCACATTGGCACGATGTGGGCCCAATGCGTGTTAAAACATTGGACCCAAGTAGGCTGCCCACATTGGGCCGATGTGCCTTTGCTCATCAGCTCCACATCGGCCCCAAGGCAGGTGGCCTAATAATTGATAGTCACGTCTATATTAGGTTTTGAGCCAGCAATGCATGTTAATAAAATATTTAAATCATTCGTCTTCCTCAAATGAAGGGGATGATGACACAATCTTTGCGAGAGGGAGTGTATGTGATTTCATTGGTTAGCCCTGAGTTAGCCTGCCCTGGAGCAGGTTAGTTCTGAAGGATTCGTTGCCATATACATTTACCCTGGCTAAAAGGTGAGCCACTTTCATGTTACCGGTTATTTCGAATTGAACTCAGAGTTAACCAAAGTTACCTCTCTAACACCTCAAACATGATTCGTAGTATAGGGCTCAGGACGAAGCCCTCCCTGTTGCCGGCTCCTCTGTCCACCGCTAAAGCACTATGCTCCTAGTTCACCCCCCAACAAGCTGATCGTTGTGTCTGTGAATGCATCCACACACAGAGAGACAGAGGACACATAACTGTAAATCAACCATACACTAACACTATCTACAAACAATTAACAAACCAATCAGTAATTAAGAATTGATGATTCATCATAATGAGATGGTGAGTCCTGAATGATAGATGGAGACATGCTCACCACTTTGTTATTGTTTCTACTGTTGATTGCTGCTTTAACATTAGAATTATTCCACAATACTGACAACAGATCAGCTCCTACAGAGATATTATCATGTGTAATTGAGATGGCAAATATAGGATACATTTTCTAAAGATCTACAACATTTTTATCTGTTCGACATGGGTGGATTTATTTTGTCTAAAGTTCTTTATTGCGACAAATGATGATGGAAACCGTTTTTTTTTTAAATATAAAAATGTTTATTTGAAGGACAAGGATTGTGTTTGAATGTTAAATGACGAGACAGAGGCATTGATGCGAGTAACCAGTCTTGTTCAGTATATTGCAATACATCCGGGTATCTCAAGTACACCGGTAAAACACTGAAGTTGCAGTAATTAACATTTACCAACAGATGGCATCACTGTGCCATCTTCCACCCATAACAGATTGTCCTGATTTTCAAGAATGACTGAATTGCGTCGCCTTGCTTTTCTGGTTGGCTGGCAAGTTTCACCATCCAATTATTTCAGATCTACAGGAGTGCAAGTTTCACAATGGCACGGACTAGCCTAGGCAGCCGATAGTGCATGCCCATGCGCGCTAGATCCGTGGCGATACGTTGGCATGTGATAATTAGAATATGGCAAATATTAGTCAATTATTGCATTGTATCCATTCTGGCTTTCATGGGCTACCTGAGACATGAAACAGATAGGTGGGAAGGCATACAGCATGTCGCCAATGTATTAATGCGCAATTTGCCTAAATGGGTAATGGAAACACTTTAACCACTACATTTTTATTCGACACTAGATCTTTGCGAGAATCATTTTGTTGTTGTTGGTTTGACGTCATTACGCCCAGCTGTTTTTATCGACACAAGATAGTTAAATGGAAACGCACCCTAGCAGGCAATTGTTGTATTTATTTTCTATGCCAACTTTCTAAATGTCGACAAAATCACTGGACAAGTGAAAGGAAACATAGCTACTGTCACATTTGTTCTGAAGTTATCGGCGGACACAGATACAGATAAACGTCTTGATTTTGTGTTTAGCGGAGATCTTCATTGTATAAAGTGACACGGAAGGCCAAAAATGCATCCAAAGATGTACTTAGCTGTTCTACAAGTGGTCTGAACTAGTCATTCAATAATGAGTGTTTTCAAGAGCAACTTTAGTAACAATGGTTTTGGGAAACAGCTTGGAGATCTAACTATGCTCCTACAAAGGTTCTAACAATGAACTTAGCCTTAAGATGCTTTTGGGAAACCGGGCCCAGCTATCTAGATAACTTGGCTTACCAGCTAGTTAGTTGTCTGTGACCTCACGTTAGATAGTTAGCTAATTAGCTAGTTGACGTGTCTGCTAATATCGCGATACAACGTCACTGCCCAGCGACAAACAAAGCAACAACTTTTTACCTTAAATAATTATTACCTTAACATAATAGCTAGCTATTTAAGTTTGGACACTCAACACTGGTAAAATAATCAAATCGCAGTGCTAGCTGTGGCATTAGAGATCCTGGTTCGTGTCCAGGCTCTGTCGCAGCCGGCCGCGACCGGGAGACCCATGGGCGGCGCACAATTGGTCCAGCGTCGTCCAAGGTAGGGGAGGGTTTGGCCGGCAGGGATGTGGGTTCGTTTCCCACGGGGGGACAGTATGAAAAAAATAATAAATAAAATTACATGTATGCGTTCACTAACTGTAAGTCGCTCTGGATAAGAGCGTCTGCTAAATGACTAAAATGTAAATGTAATGACCATGTCCTAATGTTACTGCTCAATGGGTACTAGTTCTTCTTCTTCTTCTATGGTATTATGGCGGTCCGCAACAAATGTTAGAGGTGCATGCCACCACCTACTGGGATAGGTGAAAACTGATCAACTTTAATGTATAAATAATACGAATTACAAAAGGGGAAAACAGCCATGTCGCGGACACCGACGTCTTGCTCCCGGACAAGCTAAACACCTTATTCGCTCTCTTTGAGGATAACACAGTGCCGCCGGCGCGGGCTGCTCCCGAGGACTGTGAGCTCTCGTTCTCCGTGGCCGACGTGAGTAAGATATTTAAGCGTGTTAATGTCCATTCCGCCAACTACTGTACCGGTAGTAAACTGTCCCAAAAAAAAAAAATGTCCATTGCGGAATGTAATTATTTTGTAGAAAAAACAACAGCTGAATCAAAAAACCATCACACTCCTTCGGTCACAGTCCAATTCAAATCAAATCCCTACACAGTTCCAAGGGCCTGGGAGGGGGGAACATGTTCATTCAGTATTTCATGTAATGCTTCAGCTGTTAAAACAACACATTTCACTGCACCTATCAGGTATATGTGACAATAAAACATTAATTCCTCCAGACCCAAAAACCTTTCAGCCGCACCTACAATTCCGCAGCTCCACTTGCTCTTTCAACTATTTCCCGCACCTCTCTGTAGGAGACCTGTTGTACATCTCGGATCATTGCAACTTCAAGCTCCTTTACTCTAGCAGGGCATTCTAGGAATTCGGCAACGTGATTTCCACCACAATTGCTACACCGGATGTCATCAGATTTTTCAACTACATGTTGATTCCGTTGACACACACTTGATACATGGCCATACTTTTTGCAATTTCGGGGTCACGTATCCAATCTTTACATGTGTAGGCAGATACTCTTCATCCAACATCAGTAAAATGAACTGACTTTCTTCCTTCTTTCAATCCACTACACAGTGCAGGCAATGTGCTTCCACCACTCCTGGAATCTATTTTTCATTGCCAAAGTCTTCCACTCACTCTTGCCGAGCTTGCTCAACGGGCCATCAGAATCAACCAGCACTTCTGCTTCCACCATGATTCCGTCCAGCTGTTGCTTCTCCAACCTTCTCTCGTCACCATTCAGCTCCCAAAATAGCGGTTTGAACCAGTCCAACATCTTGTTAAACAGGGCTCTCGACCCACCAGCCGTACTAACATTACAGTATGGTATTCACTCGCCTATGCAACACCCATAGAAATAAGAATGAATAGAAAGGGTGTCTCCATTCAAGTCAATGATGGTGGATTGGCAGCAATTTTGAGTGTACTCATACTAGGAAGTAAAAGCGGGAAGTGTACCCTTCCATCTGTGCTGTGATTTGTTGAGTCAACTCAACTGACATTACAGAAAATGTATGTCATGGCATTGTTTACTTGTTTCTGATTGGCTTGAAGGGCATTCTAGAGTGTGCATTATTTCCCTCTAACACATGGTATATCAGCACAGTAGAATTCAATGACTATAGTTAATTCTTACATGTTTTAAGTTTCAGCTGCTTTTGAAAGCAAAAGTCAAATTGAAAACATTATTGCCATTGTCCAATTCAATTTTCATAATAGCAAGCTGGGACTGATGGTTTGGTTAGCTAAACTAGTAAGTCTGTTTGTTTGGTTACCAAGGCTAATACTATTGATATCTAGTAAACTTGCAAGCTACTTTAGTGGATGTTGAACACATTTCTACCTTCAAATGAACACATTTCTAGCGGCAAATGTGTTCAATTATAGCCATGGTATAAAATTGATAATCAATTTAGGGCTCTATGCGTTCTCTAGAAAATAATGCAACTCCGTGGAAGGTTAGTAGAACACACCTTCCACATCATTGATTATTTTCCATAAAACGTGTAGCCACTTATTGATTATCCCTTACACATTCCATTGCATGAGCCACATCAGTTAGCATAATTTGAATGAAAATTCTACATTACCATGGCAATCCAGCATCAGTTGATAGAACATTCCAAAATACCATGAACATTATTACATCACAATACTAGGCAGCCATTGGGAGAGTACCCATGACTCATGAGTTTACCAGTCAATTGCCAGGGTTAGAGCTTCCAAGCCATTCTATTATTATTTATATGGCAAAACCTCTCCCGGTCTTCTTCTTCTTCTATGGTATTATGGCGGCCACAAACAAACAGAGGTGAATGCAGCCACCTACTGTACTGGAGTGTGTAGTCAATCACAGTTTAAAGACTAAATTAATAAAGAAAAACAAACATTAAGAAACACTAAACCTTTCTACATAATCCTATGCTACTAAGAAAATAAAAAAGAGACCTACTAACTTCTAACAAACCCTCCCCATTACCCCAAATCCCTTCCAAACCCCACCCATCCCCTTCCAACCTCCATAAACCTACACATCGTTCTTTCCCGCTCTTGCACATACCGGTACTTAAAACAATACATCAACACATGCTTCACTGTTTCATCAACCATACACTCTATCCACAAACCATTCACATGCTTGCCAACCAGATGTAATGATGAGTTCAATGTACAATGTCATAGGCGCAACCGAGCAAGCACCACCTCTTCCTTCCTAATCTGAACTTTGAATCTTGGTCCACCATCCTTTCTTTGGAGGGCACAGCCGGCCCTTGGGCTCGCTGTCCAACCTCTTCTGCCACAAATCTATCATAATGGCTCTAATTTTACATTTGGCCTCACCTATTTCTCCCCGTCATACTGTCTGAACTAACTTGACTGTGTATCATGGTTCGACCAAATGTTTGTATTAAGGAGCCTTTTGGACCTCGACTTGGCGCTCCGGTACCGCTTGCCGTGTGGTTGACAGGAGTCTTTGACATTTTTTGGGCCTTCCTCTGACACCGCCTAGTATATAGGTCCTGGATGGCAGGAAGCTTGGCCCCAGTGATGTACTGGGCTGTACGCACTACCCTCTGTAGCGCCTTACGGTCGGATGCCGAGCAGTTGCCATACCAGGCGGTGATGCAACCAGTCAGGATGTTCTCGATGGTGCAGCTGTAGAACTTTGAGGATCTGGGGACCCGTGCCAAATCTTTTCAGTCTCCTGAGGGGAAAAAGGTGTTGTCGTGCCCTCTTCACGACTGTCTTGGTGTGTTTGGACCAAGATAGTTTGTTGGTGATGTGGACACCAAGGAACTTGAAACTCTCGACCCGCTCTACTGCAGTCCCGTCAATGTTAATGGGGTCTTGTTCGGCCCTCCTTTTCCTGTAGTCCACGATCAGCTCCTTTGCCTTGCTCACATTGAGAGAGAGGTTGTTGTCCTGGCACCACACTGCCAGGTCTCTGACCTCCTCCCTATAGGCTGTCTCATCGTTGTCTGTGATCAGGCCTACCACTGTTTTGTCATCAGCAAATGTAATGATGGTGTTGGAGTCGTGCTTGGCCACGCAGTCGAAAGGTGAACAGGGAGTACAGGAGGGGACTAAGCACGCACCCCTGAGGGGCCCCAGTGTTGAGGATCAGCGTGGCAGATGTGTTGTTGCCTACCTTACCACCTGGGGGCGGCCTGTCAGGAAGTCCAGGAGCCAGCTGCAGAGGAAGGTGTTTAGTCCCAGGGTCCTTAGCTTTGTGGGCACTATGGTGTTGAACACTAATCTGTAGTCAATGAACAGCATTCTCACATAGGTGTTCCTTTTGTCCAGGTGGGAAAGGGCAGTGTGGAGTGCGTTTGCATCATCTGCGGTATGCGATTTGGAGTGGGTCTAGGGTTTCCGGGATGATGGTTTTGATGTGAGCCATGACCAGCCTTTCAAAGCACCTCATGGCTACCGACGTGAATGCTACTGGGCGGTAGTCATTTAGGCAGGTTCCCTTCGCTTCCTTGGGCACAGGGACTATGATGGTCTGCTTGAAACATGTAGGTATTACAGACTCGTCAGGGAGAGGTTGAAAATGTCAGTGAAGAAATTTGCCAGTTGGTCCGCGCATGCTCTGAGTACACGTCCTGGTAATCCGTCTGGCCCCGAGGTCTTGTGAATGTTGACCTGTTTATAGGTCTTGCTCACATCGGCTACTGAGAGCGTGATCACACAGTCGTCCGGATTTCTTAAGCGTCCGGATTAGTGTTCAGATCCTTGAAAGCGGCAGCTCTAGCCTTTAGCTCGGTGCGGATGTTACCTGTAATCATTTAAATCATTATATATGTTTTTATCATTATAACATAGTTCATAAACTAGTTATGTAGTTGTAAAACCTTTTTACAGTTGGTCTAATGTCTGTATCTTAAACTGCTAAAGATCTGTATGATTTATAAAACCAACCACTTTAGGCTGCCATTGACAGCCATGTTGTTTTATGCCATTTCCAATAGTTATAATTCACAGTAATAATTTTTGTGCTATTATCAGACCTTCCTGGAAAAAAATCAGGAAATGAATACAAAAAAAATACATTTTATGAGAAATATTAGCTTTTTGTCAGAATTTTTATTATTATTATTATTATTGTTATTATTTCTCCACCACCAATTCTTCAGCTTTTTACCAAAACAGTGGTGGGGTGGCGGCTTTGTTATTGTTTGCAGATTGCCCCTATAAGAACCAATGGGTACTGTATATTTCAAGATTAGGAAAATTGAACAGATTCCCAGATGGCATATGTGTGTCTTACATGAAAAAACATTAATGGGGTACACCTACTTTAAGAGTATGTATTAGGCTGTTTGAGAGAAGGTTTGAATCCTAGTCAACACATCCAATGTGAGTACATCTGTTGTTGAAGTACAGTAGATCAAAAAAGCTACAGTACTCTAGCAGTAGTCAAGCTGCTTATGCTGAAAAGCCTTGTTAGTGTATAGGTCAAATTAGCTTTTGAATTTGCTGTCTTCTTTGGTTTCAGACAAAAGCTGATATTTCACTTAAAACAACATATACAGTACATATACATATATACAGTGGGGAGAACAAGTATTTGATACACTGCCGATTTTGCAGGTTTTCCTACTTACAAAGCATGTAGAGGTCTGTAATTTTTATCATAGGTACACTTCAACTGTGAGAGACGGAATCTAAAACAAAAATTCAGAAAATCGCATTGTATGATTTTTAAGAAAATTAATTTGCATTTTATTGCATGACATAAGTATTTGATCACCTACCAACCAGTAAGAATTCCGGCTCTCACAGACCTGTTAGTTTTTCTTTAAGAAGCCCTCCTGTTCTCCACTCATTACCTGTATTAACTGCACCTGTTTGAACTCATTACCTGTATAAAAGACACCTGTCCACACACTCAATCAAACAGACTCCAACCTCTCCACAATGGCCAAGACCAGAGAGCTGTGTAACGACATCAGGGATACAATTGTAGACCTACACAAGGCTGGGATGGGCTACAGGACAATAGGCAAGCAGCTTGGTGAGAAGGCAACAACTGTTGGCGCAATTTTTAGAAAATGGAAGAAGTTCAAGATGACGGTCAATCACCCTCAGTCTGGGGCTCCATGCAAGATCTCACCTCGTGGGGCATCAATGATCATGAGGAAGGTGAGGGATCAGCCCAGAACTACACGGCACGACCTGGTCAATGACCTGAAGAGAGCTGGGACCACAGTCTCAAAGAAAACCATTAGTAACACACTACGCCGTCATGGATTAAAATCCTGCAGCGCACGCAAGGTCCCCCTGCTCAAGCCAGTGCATGTCCAGGCCCATCTGAAGTTTCCCAATGACCATCTGGATGATCCAGAGGAGGAATGGGAGAAGGTCATGTGGTCTGATGAGACAAAAATAGAGCTTTTTGGTCTAACCTCCACTCGCCGGGTTTGGGGGAAGAAGAAGGATGAGTACAAGATCCAGGCTCTGTCGTAGCAGGCCGCGACCGGGAGACCCATGGGGCGGCGCACAATTGGCCCAGCGTCGTCCAGGGTAGGGGATGGCCGGCAGGGATGTAGCTCAGTTGGTAGAGCATGGCATTTGCAACGCCAGGGTTGTGGGTTCGATTCCAGTATGAAAAAAATAATAATGTATGCACTCACTAACTGTAAGTCGCTCTGGATAAGAGCGTCTGCTAAATGACTAAAATGTAAATGTAAATGTACAACCCCAAGAACACCATCCCAACCCTGAAGCATGGAGGTGGAAACATCATTCTTAGGGGATGCTTTTCTGCAAAGG